CTCGCACTCGTGCGGCGCCTAATCCTCCAATCATTTCAATGAATTCAGAGCCGGCCATCGCTAGGAAGGGCACACTGGCCTCAGTGGCCACCGCTTTGGCTAACATTGTTTTGCCACAACCGGGCGGCCCAAGAAGTAGGACCCCTCGCGGCACTTTAGCTCCCAATGCCTAAGTCATAAATAGTGTCAATCAGTTTATAGCAATCATTTGATGGCAATTATAAATACTCGAAATCTTTCCGACGCTTTTAGATAATCAACGAATTCCATGATTTCTACTTTCGCTTCTTTAAGTCCGGCCACGTCTTTAAAACGGACGCCTTTCCCGCCACCGGTCAGCGGATCCACGATCGTGTACTTCGCGCGACCCATTTGTGACTATGGCATCACATCATACCATCATTTAGTATACTTTTGATAAGTTTAAGCGGTTAACAATTGACTCACAAACATATCCATATTAACTGGAGTTTTGATTTGTCCGCTTCTGAACATAATTAATATCATAAGAGAGACGGCGACCAAAGACACCAACAAAAGCCAATTGCTCTCCTGATTGCGCTCATAGACAACGGGAACCGCTTTGTCGGGTTTGACGGCGAGCTGTCGCTCGGCATCTCTGAGCCGCCTCTCAAATGAGGGCACGTCTACGATATTCATGTGATATGTCCTGTGATCGGATCGCTTCCCTTTAATGACAGCGCCTTCGTGTAGATAAATGGTCACCAAATCCAGCTCTGGTTTGACCACCAGTTGTTCCACTTCTCCTTTGGCTAACATTTGATGCAAGAACTCATTCCAAGACACGTATCGCAACACATCCGGTGTATTAGAGTTGGGAAACAGTAATGACATTATCGTTATCACTATATATCTGGACATCACATGCAAAGACAATACACGCGTTAATTATAGACACAATCACACAATCGGTCGCTCAATATAATGCAATGCAAACCCGGATAACATCCAAACCACGGCTTTGGCCATCAGTGAAGACTTGGGCTCATCGTTGTCCTCCTCTTCGTTGTCTTCGTTATCGTAATTACGATTCCTTTGCGACTCTTTATTACCATTTTTGTTGTTTTTTGAGCTCTTATTTTGGCCGTCATTTGAATAGACAATCGCGCCGTTAGTCCAGTGTTTTGTCGACCAAATCAATGTCCGACTGTTGGCCAGAGTTCGGCGAATGGCCCGACACTCGGCCACTAATTTGCGGCCATTTTTCGTCCGAAACCATCCGTTCAATGAACTGATGGTCCAGTTATGAAGACATCGGTTCCGTTGCGAGTGTTTGACCGCTCCGTTGGCCGCGAGTCTCAACACACGATTCAATGAAAACAAATGCAAATGATTTTTGTAAGCAATAAATGCTTGCATTGTTTCCCAACACAACTATTAACTAATCATTTGTTAATTAATATCAAAAACACAAACAATTGTTGTTTTTTGAAGTAAACAAACGGTTCAGTCATTCACTGACGCAATGCTTACAACATTTCGTCCAATATTTACGTCAATTTCATGAATATTTCATCAGTTCTTTGGGAAACTGTGGCACTAATTATCCCAACATTTAATCAACTCATCAGTTATTTTAATTCATATTTAATACAAAA